AAAAAGCTTATAAATTCAGTACTTGTCTCCTGTGTGGAGAGTATTTTGTAGCTTAGTCAACTACATTATATTATTCATATTAGCTCTGCACCTAATAATTAAATTAAAAGATTCTTTATAGAAGGAAAAAAAGACACCCTATAGATAAGTTACCATATATAAACCATATATATATATATATATATATATATTCACACACTCAGAGAGTATGCAAGTCCAATTCGAGTATGTAAACCATTTTTTTAACTTCTACCACATAGATCTATAAAACTTCGGATCTTGAAATAGATATTTTGTTTGGGTTTTGGTTCCTTGAACATTACTTTTCTTTTACTAAAGTTGAACAAATTCTGTCACTCTTGTCCTAACCCTAATTATCATATGAGTTGTTTTACATCATCAAGTCCCTGCTCCAAAAAGTATTTAACTTTATGAAAGCTAGTGACACCAATTAAACAAAAAATAAAAAGTAAAAAAAAATTTAAAAAAATAAACCCTTAATAATGTGACTAGGGAACTATGCAGTCCTCTAAATGGACACCTTTTTTTCTCTGCCAGCTGTTGATGGTGAGAATATTGTCATGTCCATCTCTTCCCTTGCTTGTAAATGTCAAACCAACATTTTAATGTTTAATTAAAATAAATATTAAGAATTAACTTTTAAGTGCTTAAATTTTAAAGTGGAAATTGTACTTTCAGAACCAGAAAAAAAAAAAAAACTTACTGATGTATATTTTTTTTTTTGAATTTTAAGAGTTTAACATTTAGTTAAAACTGAAGTCACTGACATTTAAAATTTTGGATTAAATGCGGAAAAAAAAAAAACTCCGATATATAAGGTTTGTACAAAACTAATTCTTATTTTTTGAAAATGCGTATGCTAGTCCATAAAATTTAAAAAAGGCTCTCTAACCACTTTTTGACAAAAACTAAATATAAAAACTCTATTTTACCCTTTTGATTCCCATTTTGCCCCTCACCCATATGTGCATTAAGATGGGCAATGCCCATTTTTGCGGGTTAAACCCGTTTCCATTATCAGTCAAATCTCACACATACATACTCTATGTCTTTCTCACTCTGTCTCTCTCCTGTTCATGATTTTAGGGCCTCTGTTCATCCTCAACTGCCTCGACGAAGATTTGATTCCGCCGCTCACCCATATCTTAGTATTAAATCTGAAAAGCATTGCTCCATATATAAAACGAGTGTGTTATTTGATTCTACTGCTCATCCATATCCTAGATAGATGGGAACCAATGCTTTCTTTAGCTGGCAAGGAATCAATTTTTTTTACCTCTCTTTTTCATCCACAAGCCTTAAACCAGTTTGTACTTTAGGCAATGGTAACAGATCTTCCTTTGGACGAAAAGAGCAATACTTTAAAGATGTAAACAACATTAAAGTAAAGTTATTGAAGATGTAAACAACATTAAAGTAGACATTCAATGCTGCCTTCAATCATATTCACCCCCACATACTCAATTCAGATCTTAAGTTATTAATTCACTTTTCTCTGTAAATGATTCAAGAATTCTTTTTCAGACCAAATGTGCAACGTACTCTTGAATCACCAAGTACAGGCACACCACTATCTCCAAAAATGCCATGGTCACCACCGTCGTGAGCCACTAATCATGAACCTGTCGTCGCCGTGAACCACCTCACTGTCGTGATTAAACCTGAAACTCGCCGCGAAGCAACCTCGCCGCTGCAAGCGATAGCGTGTCGGATCTACTCGCACCAACAATAGGGGCGCGTCACGTTCACGCGTCGCTCTCAATATCACGCACGCCTGCTATTCTCGCCTTCAGCCTCCGCTGCTACTGTTCACACCACTCCAGAACCCTATTCATCTTCCAAGAAAACCTTTCTTTCACGGTGCTGGCTCCAAGCTCTCCTCCACACCGCCAACTTGCTTACAGATCCAAGATCCTCCAAGAACCGTCCTTCACCGTCCGCATCTCTACCGGACTCTTGCATCGCCGTTTCTCTTCACCGTTCTCATGAACAAGAAAGACAGTGAGAGAAAGAGAGAGGGAGAGATGATACGTGTGAGATTTGAGGGGAAACGGGTTTAACCCGTAAAAATGGGCAATATCCCACATAAGAATTTTTTTACATAATTTGGACAAAAGTGTCATTTTACATGGCTTGTATTTATAATTAATAATTATTAATTTATTCAATTGAAGTGGGGGTATTACCGTCATTTTATACCACTCATTGACCTATTTGCACCAAATTGATAGTATAAGATAGTTTTTTACCACACATGGATTGATATGCACTACATCAACAGTAGAAGAAGAATTTTTACACTTAACCTTAAAATTTTATCTTATTTAAAATTTCATTTATTATTTTGTTAAGTAATAATGTTTATTATAAAATAAGTATCAAATTAAGGTATCAAACAAATCCTCGATCTCTTATCCTTCATTGTCTCCTTCTACATCATTAAAAAAAAAAAATGGCATCTCTCTTTTGTCGTTGGTTTTTTTTTCTTTCTTTCTATAAAGCATATATAGTAGGTGACCTTTCTTTTTTAACATCTATGTAAACTTTTTTTTTTTGAAAGATTAAGCAATATGTATTATAACTGAACATCTATGTAAACTTTATAATTGAAGGTCAATGTCTTCCGAAGTAGACGCAATTAATTAAGATCCTTTATCTTTGAATTATTTTGTTTGAACAATTAACCATCGTTCATATAATATTTGGTGTGCCATCTAATAAATGGTTGATCTACAAATTCAAAGGGGAGGATCCAAGGCCTTCAATCAAGGGTCTCACATTAAAATCACAAATATATATATATATATATATATATATATATATATATATATAATTTTAGCAAATTAGGGGAGAAGGGACTCAACACGGATATACCTACTCGGGTAGAGATGGCCCCAGGTTTTTGTGTGAGGAGGGAAATAGTAGAATTTTTTTTTTGTAGACTGGTTATATGAAAATTTCATAAGTATATAGTTCAAAAAAGAAAAAGACACTAGTATTAATAGTTTAAAAAAAAAATTAACAAATAGGGGGGACAATTGCCCATGCTAATGCATGAGAGTTGGACACCCAACCAACCACTAAATAATATTTAAAAAAAGGATAAACATTTAAAAATCACAAAATTATATTGAAAAGCAAATTCAGAATTGCAAGTCTAGTAGAAAAATTTTAATCACGGGGACAAAATTGAAAAAATTGTGTAAAAAAAAGGAAATTTGTTATTTAATTAAAGATGATACAACGCATGCATTTGGATTTTTTTCATGCAAGTAACAAAATAAAGGTAAATTTTAAAAAAATAATAATAATAAAAAAAAAAAAATCATTTCATGCGTTAATGAAAACATCATTTAATTTTGACTTAAAAAGCTTGTGCATGCACCATCAATTCATTTAATTTTCGGTCTTACAATCGTACTCGCCGGGCTGTGTGTTTCGCCGGTCGGTTTTGACATTATAAAATAAGTGTCAAATTAAGGTATCAAACAAATCCTCGATCTCTTATCCTTCATTGTCTCCTTCTACATCATTTTAAAAAAAAAATGGCATCTCTCTCAGATTTTTTTCATTCAAGTAACAAAATAAAGGTAAAATTAAAAATAATAATAATAAAAAAAAAAATCATTTCATGCGTTATTGAAAACAGCATTTAATCTTGACTTAAAAAGCTTGTGCATGCACCATCAATTCATTTAATTTTCAATTTTACAATCTTACTTGCCGGGCTATGTGTTTCACAAGCCAGCTGAGGTCCTGATCCGCGTGGACCAAGGACCAACATCCATCATTTAGGCGTGAACTACATGGGTATCCAATCCCTTTCACTTTCCATGTTTTTCATGTTTTTGCACCCCTACTTCCATGTTTTTGCAACAATTTTTTTTTGAAAGAAATAACTTGAAAATATGTTTGATACAAATAATGGTTATTGTTTTATTTATGGCAAGAAATTCACATATATTCATTTTGCTTTTTTTGAGACTCGAACCCTTATCATTTACTTTGAAAAGTAAAGAATATTTCTTTAAGTTACAAGGTTCTTAGTAGTAGTTTAAATAGTTAATTTTAGAGTTTTTTTAATTTAATTTAATTTAATTTATTTTTTTTGGGTATCACTATAGTGTTATTATTACGGTGCAAGAAATATGAAATTAGTATTTTGAATTTAGACCACTATTTATGGAGCGTTTTAGCCTTGCATAAAATAAATCATTATTTATCAAATATGTTACGATCGAAAACAATACTAGAGTAGCAGGCAAAACAAAAAATGCATATCAAACAAGCCAAATTCTACACCCAAATTCCACCAAAGTACTCTCTTTTGTCTTACAAAAATGTACCATTCCAAAACAATACTAGAGTACCCAACCCAAAACAAAAAAACAAATATCAAACACGCCAAATTTACTCACAAATTCTACACAAGTACTCTCTTTTGAGTGTCGAATGATCCGCACGAGACTTGCAAAAATATACATTACTTTCTATTGATTTCTTCTGATTCGCCTTTTTTAGTCGGCATACTTTTATTAATTTGAGTATAATTATTATTATTATTATTTTTATTTTTATTTCAACAAATGATGTAGCAAGTTCCAACCCTTGAATAAAAAGTCATAGTAAATTTACTTCTTTATAGACATAGTCAATTTCACAACAATCTACTCTATTCCCCCTTTATTTTGGTAGTACCATAACATCACCTCAAACTCGTCAACCTATAAAAAACCCGATTTAGACGGTACCTACCTTTCTTTACACTCTCCAAGTGTCACCTCTCCCACCAGTCACGCGTTTCTAGCCGTTTTCAGCTCCCTCCCCCGCCGGCCCTTTCACTTTGGCGCGTTTACTTCCCCAACGTCTCTCTCCTTTTTCAACGGTCACTTTCTCTCTCTACCCTGACATTTAAAAATTCAATCACGTAACTCATTCATCATTAAATAAAATTTTAAAAAATACCCAAATCACCAAACAGCAATAATAACAACGCGTTTTGGGAAAAAAAACTCATAATTTTTAAAACTAACCCTCTATCTAATACGCGCAAATACAGATCCGCAAAATGCTATAAGACAAGCACAAATTGCTCATCATTTGGATCCCATGCCCTTTCTCTCTCTCTACTCCCACTTTCTCTCTCTAAACTCCCTTATTTTTCTCAACCATACTAGCTACCAAGTTGCAATGCCAACCATTTTGTTGAGGATTTTCCTTCTTTACAACCTCCTAAATTCAATCCTCCTCTACTTGGTACCCAAGAAGCTCAGGACTTATCTCCCAACTTCTTGGTACCCTCAACAAACCAACCTCGTCGACACCAAAAACACACCCTCTCCATCTCCATCTCCGTTGCCGTCATCGGCTCACATTCGCCGTAAAATGGAGACCGACGAGCTCCGGAGGGTTTTCCAAATGTTCGATCGGAACGGGGACGGCCGGATCACCAAGAAGGAGCTGAATGACTCGCTGGAGAACATGGGGATCTTCATGCCTGATTCGGAGCTGACGCAAATGATCGCGAAGATCGACATTAACGGAGACGGGTGCGTTGACATCGACGAGTTCGGCGCGCTGTACCAGTCGGTGATGGAAGAGCGCGACGAGGAAGAGGACATGAGGGAGGCGTTCAACGTGTTCGATCAGAACGGGGATGGGTTCATCACGGTTGAGGAGTTGAGGTCGGTGTTGGCTTCGCTTGGGCTCAAGCAAGGACGGACGGTGGAGGATTGCAAGCGGATGATCATGAAGGTGGATGTGGACGGTGATGGGATGGTCAATTTCGTCGAGTTTAAGCAGATGATGAGAGGCGGTGGTTTTGCTGCACTGGGTTGAAAAATATTTATTTATTTATATATATTGTTTTTTTGGGTGAGGTGGGTTTTAATTCATGGGTTGTAAATATTTTTTTTTAAAAAAAAATTGGTCGCAACTCTGATTTCAGCATTTGCTTAAACAGTTTTACGGATGCTTAAATCCACGACATTGTGAGTATTTGTCATTGAGATTTCAACATTTGTTAAAGACAAGAAATGTGTTAAAACTTTGCTCATTTGGCTCCAATTCAACCACGATTTCGTCGAAATGATTGCGGAGACACACGCGGGATGCGTGGATGAAGAATGGAAGCCTGAGCCGCCCATTGACTGCCTCGAGTTAGGGAGAGAAGCAAGATGAGCCGGTGAAAATGTTATTGTCAAGGAATGTCTGTATGTAGTAGTTGATTGGATTAAATGTATTTTTCAGCATTTTAAGATTGAATATTTGTCATTTTTTAGCCATTTTTGCTTCCAATTTGTGTTAATGCATGTCATTCCTTGCAATGAATTTGTTCAATCCAGAATCAAAATTTTCAGCAAAATTATCAATACTCAAATCTCTTTTAGAACCCACAAAGTCAACATTATAAATTGTTTTTGTGTATTACACACACACACACACACCCACCCCCATAAATTGCACAAAAAAGTTTTCTCATTTTAGTTCAAATTTTCACATTTGGGAATTAAAAAAAATAGTTCTAAAGAATAGTCTCCTAAATGTATTAATGCTTCTTTCTTTTCATAAAAAGAACTACATCTGTCCCACACCCATAAATTGCACAAAAAAAGTTTTCTCATTTTAGTTCAAATTTTCACATTTGGGAATAAAAAAAAATAGTTCTAAGGAATAGTCTCCTAAATGTATTAATGCTTCTTTCTTTTCATAAAAAGAACTATATCTGTCCCAAAAATAATGTCGTTTTTGAAGAAACGTGACTCACACATTATCGCGTTTGGGGAAATGTGGCTCACAAGTTGTGAGTGACAAATCCCTAAAGACATCATTTCTGAGACAGAGTAAGTATAAAATAATTATTCGGGCTAAAAAAAAATAATTCAAATTTTGTGTAAATTTATTATAACTTATGTAGTATAGATACGGGACACGGACATGATACGACACAAATAAATTAACACGTCAAATTTTAAAAAAATAGGATACGAGTACGGCGTTGACACAAGTACAAAATAATATAATTTTTATTATTATAGATCTATTCAGTAATAATATTATAAAACTTTAATTCATTTATAATTTTTATAGTAAGAATTGCTCTGAAATGAATTAGGAAAACGAAATTATGTCATTATTGTAATCATTTTTTTTTATTTTATCATATAGACATTTATTTCACTACTTTGTCATGATAATATTCATATTATTTTCAAGATTATTAGGTAGACTTGTGTTATAAATATCCGAGAAATGAATTACTCGGTAGACTTGTGTTATAAATGTCCGAAAAATATCGATGAAGTGTCTGAGAAGTGTTAATGAAGTGTTCGAAATAATAAAATTAATTTTTATTTATGAACAGGTACATGAAATGTCGGACCGAGGAGTATTGATGTTTGACACCGGTATGATACAGGTACAGTTCCTTCATAAAAATGTCCATACTTCCTAAATTATAACACATCAGATTTACAAAAAACATATATACACACACAATAACGGTTGGAGATGCTCTTAATCAAACTCCTAAAAAGTTAAAAAAAATCCTGTTTCTAATCCTTTCTTGCCATTTTCATATAATCAAACTAAGCCTTATAGAGAATTTATTTTCCTCTCATTTGTTGTATAGAAAAATAATGAGAAAATAAAAGAAAGGAAAATTTAATTTTTAATTTTTAACTTTTGTTTTTTTCTTAGTTTGGAATCAATTATTTTAAAATTTGAAAAAGGAATCTGAATTGGAATTAAAATGAAATTCTATTTATATATTTGAAACAAATTGAATTTAAAATGAAATTCTGTTTATTGTCACATTCATATTCAAAGATGTCTTTTCAAATAATTTTACAATTTTCTCTCCCTCTGTCTCTCTCTCTCTCTCTCTTTTTATTTATTTTTTGGGTTAAAACTATGCTTTCTGCTTTGCTCCTTATCCTTGTCAGTGTCCTTTTCCTTTTCCCTTTTCCCTTTTCCCTAACTTCCCCTCCACTCCCATAAACTCTTCTCTGAACTTCCTCACATCAAGAACCCATCATCAATCCAACGGTACATGTCGACCACAACATTATAACATGCTGTGGACATACTTCTCCAGATCGCAGCCCTAATTAGTTAAAATTCCTATATTTTTCAAGTTTTTTTTTTGTTAAAAGGGTAAGCTTATTTTTCAAGTTGTGAAAGCTTATGAATTAATTATAACCTGTGTGTGCGCGAGAGAAGAAGCTCCAGCACTCGGTGAGCAGCAAGAAGCTCGAGCTTGAAATTGAGTAAGCCGTCTATCTTAATTCTCCAATTTCGTGGTTTTGAATTGATGTTTTCGTGAATATCATATTTTTGATTCTCTGTATAATCAAATTCCCAAAGGAAACCCTAGAAATGACCATATTGGTTAAACATCGAAATCGCCCTTCAGCAAAAGTGCAAAACTGTGCATTTTCCTTCATTTATAATTCCCCATTTCTTTCCCGAAAAAAAAACAAAGAAGGAAAACGAAAACTTAGGAACAGAAATGAAAATGAAATTTGAAGTGAACCTCAATTTAGCTTACTCTAAGAATTAATTGAAGTTGGTTTGATGAGTAAAAGAAAATTCGTGTGAAAGCTCTAATTAGAGCTATGAATTGAGAAAAGTAGATTTCGTTTGTATCATATGGGGGTGATTTATAAATTAGCAGAAAAGGCTAGTGCACATGTTCACCCTAATGCTTATATGAAATTTTAGCCTTTTCTTTTTTCCCATCTCATTGCTCAGAAAGTAGGAAAAGAAAAGAATTGTGATTTAAAATTTGATTTTATCCTAATTTGGAACTAACAAAAATAGAAGTCTAAACTTTTCTTACTAGTTAGTGCAACTACTTGTATGGAGTTGAATTTTTTCTTTATCAGGAATCAAAAGCAAGAAGCATAAATGTGTTTTTTTATCTTCTGTTGTTTCCTTCTTGTTCTCAGCAACTAAACAAGACCAGTGTTAGACTGTTAATCTATATTTTATGGACCTCTGTTTAATTACTGCCTGTTCTTGTTCGCGTATATCATGTTTTGGACTTGGGGTTTGGGTATTCAAACATAATTGCGATAACCTTCCACATTAGCTAATGTTGCTTTGTTAACACAGTCTGATCAGTGAGGTGACTTGGGAGAGAAAGTAATACAACTTTTTTTAATATTTCAAAATTAGTTGCCACAACCTTCTATATTAGCTAATGTTCTTCCTCTTGGATCAGAACTACAATTCTAGCTTTTTATTTGCTACTCTGTAAGACTTTTGGTTTCTTAACTTGCTACTTATTATGGTTTTGTAACTGCATATTTATCGTGACAAAAATTGAATCAACTTCTGACCCCTTTGAATAAATTATAGTTATGGATATTCTATCTATGAATAACTGTTTGTGTTTGTGTGTGAGTGTGAAAGTTTAATATGAATTTTTAAACTTGCCAAAAATCAGAAGTGAATAAAAGAACTATCATGTACTTTAAATATAAATATTAATTTTTAGTATTGTAGCAATTATTTTGATTTTAAGTGTGTATTTTTCACTAAAATGCCAGTTGCAATGTAACTGAAACCTTTGAAAGTCCTAAGGCTATATTCTTTCTTGCTCCCACTTCTCCTCCTACTCTTGCTTTGAAGATTCCTATTATTTATTTTTTTACCTTTATTTTGCTTATTCCCAAGCTTCTTTTCCATGTTTTGTTGTTTGCTTGCTTGGTGCTTTGTTAATAATAAACTCAAAAGTGACTAGGGTAACGTTCTTCTTCTTCTTCCTTCTCTCTTTTTTTTTTTTTTCAGAGGCTAACCTTAAAATATGACTGGTTATGTTATTCTCTTGTAGCTTATATGGAGACACTTATAGAGGGCAAGTTTGTAACCACAGAAAGTTTGACAGGAAATGAATCAGATTTGCATGAATTTGATACGTATCAAGAACCATATGTGGGTATGCTGTTTGAATCAGATGAAGCTGCCAAAGCATTCTATGATGAATATGCCAGGCGGGTAGGATTTTTAACACGAATTGTATCATCCCGTAAGTCAGAGCGGGATGGATCCGTTATCTCACGTCGACTTGCATGTAATAAGGAGGGATATAATATCAACAGTCAAAAAACAGGGCGGTCTCGAATTCGAAAGCGAGAGAGCAAACGAGAAGGTTGCATGGCAATGATCCTAGTGAAAAGAGAGAAGCCTGGGACATGGCTCGTGACAAAGTTTGTGAGGGAACATAATCATCCACTAAATATTTCTTCGAGAAAGGGTCCTCCAAAACCTGTAAGTGTAAGATTTTTTATTTTTTTTATAAGCCTTTTAAGTTTAGCATTTTTATGCAGTCATTCTTCTTTTGGACTGATAATCCTTGAGCCTATGAAAACCTGATGCCTGCAGTCATTCCACTTTTGGGCTGATAATCCAATCACAGAAAACCTGCTCTTGAAATGTTAAATATTCTAAAATGGGTCACTGTTGGGTGGGTATTGGATGGGCTGGTCATGAATGGGCTAATGACCCATTACCAACCCACCAATGGTGGGTCATGAATGGGTCAGGGTTCAAATGGGCGGGTCATAAGCGGGTCAAACCGCTTCAACCCCTTTTTTTTTTCCCGCGCAAATGGGATCTTTTTTCTATGAAGAGATGACAAACATGTGAAGATGTGATATTGAAAAAGCAAATTCAAAATGACAAGGCTTCATTATTTTTTTCTCAAAATGACAAACCGAAATCAAAATATTGTACTTCAAAAAAACAACTAAAAAATAAGAAAGATTAATGGAGAATCAGAGCGTTTGAAGTCCAAGATTCTTATCCAACAAAGAAAGGTCCACACTGTAGCTTCAATTAAGCCCCAACACTGAAACAAAAGAACTGGAGCAGATCAGTTATAAAAAATAAAATAAAATAAAAATAATCCATAATCTTGTTTTCATGCTTATAGGAAATATTGTTTTGGATATATATATATATATATATATATATATATATATATTTATTTATTGATTGGATACATTACAGATCAGATAGATAAGCTTCTCCCTGTGTTTAAAATCATCCAAAAAGAACCACTTGAGTGTTTAATAGACCTAATTGAATGCTGCCTCTTTCTCTCTCTACCAAACGTGAACAGAAAAACCAATATATGTCACTCGATGGTTTTCTAATACGAGAGGAACAAATACCAGATCCAGAATTAGATTAATCACTCTCTTCCAGAATTAGATTAAATTTCCGAAGATTACACTTCAACTATATGAATTACATCCCTCTGAAATTTCAATTTCCATCAGTGGGAAACAATGTATGACAATATACAGGAATTTAAAAATACAGGCATTTTAGGATTTTGTTGAGAGGGTGAAGTTGGGTACCCATCTTAACTCATTATTCACCCATTATAATGGGTACCCATTTTTTACCCATTCATTTAAATTGGGTACCCAAATGATTTAATTCTAATGGGTGGGTTTGGGCGGTTTAATGGGTTTGGGTATAAATTGCCACCCCTAGCTGTTCATATTTACATCTTGAGGGTGCGAATCACTGACAGAGGTACATGGTGCCTAGGAGCAACGCAGCCCCCTCATTTTGTACTTGTGGGAATTTAAAATTGTAAAATTTCCCCACACCCCTAATTTTAGCTTTCAATTTAATCTCTCTGTGATAACTAGACACTCTGTGTCTACATCTTTGGTTCTCTTTTCCTTTGCTAAATGGCTTGCTTTCAGCTATTTTTTCTTTGATAAAACACATTTTGTCTACTTGTATTTAAATGTTACATTGTTACATGGAAATCGTGAATATACACTTGTTAGCATTCAGGGAAAAAAGAATACACACTTGTTAGAACGCTTTGAAGACCCAAATTGTAAAGTGCGAAATTTCCTAGTTTATTTGGTTCAATTAACTAGCAATTAGCTTAGGATGTGGAGAACCTAACTGAAAATAGTATAAGTTCCCAATACAAAGACAAGCTTGATTCAACAATTTTAGTTATTGTAAGCGAGAACTTTTTAAGTTTGTTGAGTTCTAACTAATTTGACTTGAAAATTTCTTAATCGTATTCACTCTGAGAGAACGAGGGATACAGTAGAATACATCCACACATTGGAATTTGTTTTGTTTTGTATAATTGTTTTAATTAAATATATACAGTTTTTTTCAGTTCAGTTTGTATGAAAATCTTGCTTAAAATAAAAAACTTTTGAGGGCAATTTTAAATATAATAAATGATAATATTATCAATCAAAGTTAGGTTCTTATATTTATTATTTGTTCAATTACTTTTTATCTTCATTTTTTTTTTTTTTGGTCTTTTTGTTCATCAATGTTTCCCCTTAATTCCTCTTTCCCTCACTTGTGCAAACTACACGACTCCTTAGTATTAGCTCAGTAGCTGATTAAATTTGAGAATTTTGTACCTTGCCACCCAAGTGGTGTTTCACTAGAGTTCCTTCTGAAGTTATAAAGAAATTTGCATTGGTGTTATGTATAATGAAAGGAAGGATGAGGCTGATAAGTTGCATACTTATCATACAGACTGATGAGTTGCATATTTGGTTTCATATTATAAAGAATTCTAAATAGGCTAGGAATTTCATAGCTCAGATGGCATGATCGCAATTCCAAAGCTCCTTTTAGCTGAAAGACGAGGCTTTTTAAGGACTGCTATATTGGCTCAATGGTCATCCTTCCCTTTAGTTGTTCATCCTTTTGTTCTTTTTGGTAAGGTAATCTCCTCCTTGTCTGCTATCTCCATTTTCCTTTCATTATTAGAGTTTTCATCTCCTTTAAAACTAAGTGCAGATTTTAGGGATGAAAGCATTAGGAACGACAAGAGGAAATTGCCCACAAAGGTTTGTCATTTGAGACTCAATATGCCAAGAGGAATATTGGTTTATGTAGTAGGTAAGAGATTAAGAGGTCGACCAAAACTAACATGGGATGAAGTTATAAGAAATTATTTTAACAAATTTGGATCTAATAAGAGAAATGACTTATAATAGAAGTGAGGGGGAAAAGAGAATCCATGTGGCCAACCCCATCCATACGGGATAAAGGCAAGGATGATGATGATGATGTCGTTGTGAAGAGAATAAGTTAAATGTTAAAAATGTTTGAGAATTATCAAGAGTGTTACATGTGATTTGGAGCGAATCAAGGGCGTTCTTGGTCTGGCATACACTCTTGAGTCTCTTCCGGAAAAAAGGGGCATTACTTTTTCAGACTTATGCTGATGTGAATTGTGCACGCCTGAAAAGCTTTCAACGAGTACTATGATGTCAAATAGGCATTGTTATGAATAATGTCGTCTTTAGCGATCGTTTGAAATAAAGGCTTTCAAATTTGCGGTTCAACACTTCTCTAATTTTGAATGCTTAATACAGCATTTGATCTAGAAGGTTATAGAACTTGGTCTGAGGAACTTTTTGATGTAGTTTGTTAGGTCTATATCCTTGGTGGCTTAAATTGTAAGTTCAAATCTGAAATGCTACTTAGAAAGCTATCTAGATCTATGAGTAGGAACCACTGTTGTATTTGGGTGCAGAAAAATAATGAAAGATTAGGTTACCACTTCATAATTTGTGTCTATTATTCTAATTCTCTATATTTCAGTGAACTTATAGGAATTCCTGAGTGCTACTTCAATTTCTCGGGAAAGGTAAAGGTTGTACCGCTCTAAAGGCCTCTTATACCTCCTATCTCCTCGCAAACAATACCTGATACCCTATATACGAAAAAAAAGACATCTCGCGAAAGGATTATGATCGATTGGAGGGAGAAATCTCCTTCTCTTATTTCAATTTGGGCCATGAGATAGAGGCCAACAATATAGCAGAATTATACGTGTGAATGGAGAAGACTCAGAAAAAGGGGTGCATTTAATTCACCACTAGAAATTGAGCTACAACTAGTTGAACTGAATTGAGTCTGTAAATTTAAGAATAAAGTCCAAATTCTGTCCCAAGTAATCCAGAGAACTTACCACGTGCTTGTTTATGCTTTGACAATGATTGCCTTTTTTCTTATACTTTTTATGCCACTTCCAGGAAGCTTCTCTCTAAACAACAGAATTCACTCAACTTTTATAGTTTACTGATGTTAAGAACCAGAACCAACACCAACGGGTCAGTGGCCTAGCGATATAAGGCCCTTACTTCCCAAAGGGAGGTCAAGGGTTCAAGCTTCAGTGGAGGCATGTGTGTGTGAGTACCAACTAAGAAAAAAAAAAAAGAAAAAGAAAGAAAAAGAAAAAAGAACCAGAACCAACAAGCCTTAATCCCTCTGCTTGGTTTGGCTTTATGATTAGATAAATCAATCGGTCTCAAATTGTTTTTGTCATCTCTAACTTGATATCAATTAATTCCAATTTCCTGGGCAGTTGGTGAGTTGAAAAACCTGCCGGGGAGCAACTTCGCACAATTACTTAGAACTACAAAAGAGGCTAGACCAAGAGAAATCCCCCTTTTGTTTATCAATCTTATTATCGCAATTATGTATAGCCTCATCCAACTGCAAGACATGTTTTTTTTTCTTTCTAAAACTGCATTACTAATTTGTCATCTCTCGGTCTCGAACAATATTCAGTGTCAACCAAAACTCTCTAAATAGTGTATTCATTTTGACCACGTGAGATGGAACTACTTATGCACCACATCTTTTTTTGTGTTGAAGTATGTCTTTGAATGTCTGACTCTGATATTGGGAACTAGGTATTAAATGTCCTCCTTGAATGAGAATTTTGGGCTTTGGTGTAAAATGGTGTCATAAAACTGCAAGACATGTTTCTTTTCTAAAACTGCATTGGTTCAGATTGCCAAGAGTCATCAGGATATGTTTGGTTGGTGTTTGAGGTCTCTGAATATATGATAGGCCATGTTGAGGGTTAGATATGCAACTGGAATAAAAAAATCAGATTTTTTTGTGAGCGAGGTATAATGGGAATGCGAAATTTAACATTCAGTTTAAGAAAGATTTTGCTACCATTACGCCAGTGTTAAATTGCCAAAATCTGCACCATATGAGGACATAGTTTACCTAACATGTCGATTTAATTTTATGGAACCTTTCCCTATGTAACTGGCATCTTTTTTTATTGGGAATCTAATGGCTGTGAAATTTTTATTTAAATGATAATTTCATGAAAAACCATTGGTTTGTAATTGCATATATATATAGCATTGCTCTCACGAAATTTAATTGGACATAAACTATATTGGTGTCATGAATTGTGCTGAATCTTCTTACTCCAGCATACATAGCTTTTACCATGGTCTTTCAAACTAAGCTCTGATGGACTGGTTGGTTCAGTCTGATCCTAACAAGATGCTCATTTGGATTGAGTTTGTGTTTAGTTGGACATTAGGTTGTTTCTGCTAAATCACTAATTTTCTTTTCAAATTTCACTTGAATTTTTGTTACCGAAACCCAGATGAAAATTTTGGAAATCACAACTATTTGAAGAAATATGTGATTCAATGGAGTGTCTCTAGTCTTGATTCAAATCAGAAATAATTTACCCAAAAAATTTGCAAATATAATCTTTTTTGCAATTGAAAAGTTGATCTTGAGTAGCTTCAGTGGCCTTGTTTAATTGGCCATGTTTTTAAGCATGACTGCCCTGCTAAATTTAGAAATGGCATATTCTCTTCTTTTTTTTTGATAAGTAAATATATATTAACAAAGACGCTCAAAGGGGAGCGAACCCTTAACAAAGCTAAAAAAAGACGCAAAAAGCGCCATTACAACGATAAGTTGTCAACAAAATCCAACAAACTGTCCACAGATAGACAATTTCTCCCATTAACCCAAGAAAAAAGCAAATGCAAAACATACGACTTAATAACCCACGTTGGCGCCTCCTTTCCCTCGAAAGATCTCCTGTTCCGCTCTAGCCATAGCCCCCACCAAACACAAAGAGGTGCAACCCTCCAAGCTTTCCTAACCCGACTTCCCATTGATCTGCCTCTCCAAGCCTCTAACATGTCCATTGTGTTCTTGACACCACCCACTCAACCCCAAACACATTCAGAACCATACTTCAAACATCCGCTGCCACTTTGCAATGCAACAATAGATGATTAACCGATTTGCCCGTCATCTTACACATGCGACACCAATTAACTGCTATTTGGCCTCTTCTTCTAAGATTATCAATAGTAAAAATGCTGCCAAGTACTGCTGTCCATGTGAGAAACCCCACCTTCAGTGGAGCTGACGTCCTCCATACAGCCTTCCAAGGGAACCCATTGGTTAACGAATCCGTAAGACTTTGGTAAAACAACCTGACCTCAAACACTCCTCTAGAACCCCCCATCCACACCATCTCATCCCTTCCTTCCCCCTCCACCCCTTGATAATATAATAATCCCATTAAATATGTAAATTCCAGCAGCTCCCAATCATTAAAATTTTGACGAAAGCGCACATCTCAACTAGCTCTCCCATTCTCTACCCGAAAATAATCTGCCACCTCAGCAGACTTATCCTCAACCATCCTGAAAAGCCGAGGGAACCTATGAGCCAACACCACATCCCCACTCCATAAATCCTTCCAAAACCTGACATGCTACCCATTCCTAACTCTAAACCGTATCCGCTTAGAAAACTCATCCCAACCCCGCCTAATTCTTTTCCAAGAACCCATACCTGCTGAAAAAGACACACCTCTAGACATCCAACCTCCCTCCTCGTCCCCAAAACGACAAGCAATAATACGCCTCCAAAGCACAGACCTTTCACACCCAAATCTCCATAACCATTTCCCTAGCAAAGCTTTATTGAACATCTCCAACCTTCGAATTCCCAACCCTCCTCTTTTCATAGGGGTGCAAACTTTCTCCCATTTCACCGGTGCTTAAACTCCTCCCCTAAACCCCCCCACAGAAAGTTCCCCTGAATCTTGTTCAGCCTACTAACCACTGTTCTCGGAATCGGAAACAGAGACATAAAATATGTAGCAAGACTAGAGAGAGTATTTTTCAACAATGTGAGTTTACTCCCTTTCGACAAGTATTGCTTCTTCCACCCGGATAAACTCGTTTGGAACCTTTCCACCACCGGATCCCAAATGGCAACTCTCCTCGTAGACGATCCCAAGGGCAACCCCAAGTACGTAAACGGAAAAGACTCCACTCTGCACCCCAAAATAGCTGCCAAAATATTTCCCACCTCCCCCACTGGAACAATCATACTCTTGCCAATATTAATTTTCAGCCCCGAGACAACTTGAAAACATGCCAAAACACACCTCAAATGCATCAACTGATTCACACTCGCATCACAAAACACAATAGTATCATCAGCAAATAGCAAGTGAGATGTAACAATCTGGTTTGGCGCACGCCCCACCGAAAAACGTTGAATAAAGCCTAGACCCTCTGCCCTTTTCATGAGAATGCTCAAAGCTTTCATTACAATAATGAACTGAAAAGGGGACAACAGGTTCCCCTGACGTAAACCTCTCAAACTTGCGAAGAAACCTGCTGGTGACCCATTCACTAAGATAGAAAAACGAGCCGACGAAATACATTGGTGTATCCACCCTCTCTATTTAGCTCCAAATCCCATCCTCTCCAACAAATACAATAAGAACACCCAATTCACATGGTCATAGGCTTTCTCAATATCCAATTTACACACAATCCCCGGCTCCCCACTCTTGACTCTTGCATCAATTCATTCACTAGCAATGAGAACCGGGTCAAGGATCTGCCTTCCTCCAACAAACGCATTCTGTGATTCCGAAATGACCCCATCCAAAACTTGCCTTAGCCTAATAGCCAGGATCTTCGAGAAATGGCATAATCTCTTGTTCGGGGGAAAACATATTTTCGGGTTTCTCTTCTAGTTCTCCTAAAGGGAAGGGGCAAAACGGAATCAACTCTGTGCCATTTGGCTGATACAATTAATTACAAGTACTTTTGCTCCCAATACTCCTATTGGAAAATATTCGTCGTGCTAGTGATGTACAGGGTACTAATGGTTGTGCCAATGTGGTAATGCACTTTAACAAAGAATAAAGGAAAATGGAACTCTTTTTATTTTATTTATTTTTTATTTTTTTTGTGTCAGTGTCCCCTTACTAAGTATTGTTAGTTTCTCACTCTGTTTTTAAATTTAGGTTTATTATTGAATAACCTTCTTTATGTTAAACAATTCTTTGCCATGATTAGTCATATTCAAGTGGAAGAACTGAAAAAGTAATTGTTGGTACCATGATACACAGTACCATTGCCAAGAAATACAGCATTCATGTGGATCTCTGCCAAAATGGCCGAATCTGTTAATAATAGCATTATTTAGATCCATGGAATGGTTTATTCAAGCTTCATTTTCATTTAAGTGGATTTCAAACAATTACCTAAATCATGGATGTTTTTATAATGTCATAGGATGACAAGGACAGGAGGATCCAAGAGCTATCTTTTGAGCTGCATCGTGCAAATCAACGGTTGGCAGCGTGTCGAGAACAGCTGCATATGTTTATGACATATATTGAGGAACATACCCTTTGTTTATCAAGAACAGTTGAAGACGTAGTTCACAATATCAAAGAAGCGGAATCCAAGGGGCGGCAAGCATTCTCGCATCACCAGTAGCAGCCTCCAGTTTCACACAAATACGTCTGCTGTTCTACTTTCCAATGTTAATAGACTAGTTTCAGCTACATTCTTTTCTAGTTCTCTGTATAATATCATAATTGGAGTCTCCATCTTGGTTCTTTGATTCATGTAAAGAAATTTCAGCTTTACGATTTTTTTGCTGTACAGGATTGATCTGGACATTTTGTCCTCATACATTATGATCTGAATAAAACTGTAATGTGGGGGAAGAGCATTCAAGATTCATTCAAATTCAAGGATTTGTGTGTGTGTGGGTGCGTGGGTCGGGGGAAGCAGAAGGGATTGAACATGGATGATTAAAAGAATTATATTCTAAAGGGTTTTAGAATGTGCTTTGATAGTTTAATGCAAGGTAATTGATTTTTTGCTTTGCATTCATTGAAAATCACTTTTTGTTTAGGATTGTCTAGTGTTTCCATTTTAAAGTTGTCTATTACTCTATTTCAGTGTTATTTTAGTCACACTGACTGAATTAGAAAGTGAGATTTTACTAGTCAATTTTTTATGGCACCAAAAATATTAAAATTGAATATGTGACCCTCTTTTTTTTTTTTTATTAAAGTCATATATCAATGCGTGATTGTCTCCTAATAGGTAGTAAGCAAGTACTGTATGCCAAGTCCTTGGTGTGTTTCAATCATTTTTTTTAATTTTTTTTATAGGAAAAGTAGGATGATTCATCAAAAACTTTCTTGCTTAGATTACTTAGTAATCTAGTCTCAAGATTGTTATGAAATTTATATATATATTTTTATGGTTTCTAGTGACATGTACAACACTCGTAAATTTTTTTTTTGATGTGATTGGATAATTTGTACCTGTATATTACTTGGCATCTAAAAGTTTAATTGTAAATTCGTAATTATAAATTAGCAAACTCAATTTATTTTACGAATATTAAATGACTTCAAAATGCTGTTAAAATTCAACATAAAACTCATTTTATCAAAGTGAGTGAATAAAATATGTCATAATCACTTAATCCACTTCGAAGGCTGGTTTGGTGCTTTAAACACACCGTTGATTAAGAGAAACCATTATTCATATAACATTTTATTAAAAACATATATTTATATAAGGGATCATATGCGCTCGGTAGTTGGTTATGCGATATTATACGAGGCCTGTCACTGTTGTTATAAATAATAATAATAAAAAATAATTAAGATTTTTTTTTACCACTTAGGTATCCAATGTTAAGAAAAGTAAAATTTCACTTATCTCTTTTTAAATTTATTAATTTCTCAAGTAAACTCTCTCTTCTTTTTTTTTTTTTTTTTTTTTTTCATAATCCCACTTACCTTTCTATAATATGTAGGCTCTCATTTTTGTTTCATAATCTTAGTTACCTCTTCTATAATGAATTATTTTGTTCATAAAGGCTCAGCTTGTTTCGACGTAAAATATTTTTTTTCGAAAAATAATTTTTTAGGTAAAATATTTTCTTTTATTTTTATTTTTCAGTGTTTGGCAAATGTCTAGGTCAAGATTTAGGTCTAGTCCATTGGGTGGGGCGTGTAAAATAGTTTGGTTGAAAATTGATGAATAAATTATTTTTTTTCAGTTTTAATATTTTATTGGGCAAATTTCTCAAAACCTTCAAAACTATTAAAAAGTAATCATAAAAACCCAACCAGTTTTTAAAACCCCCAACAATATAACAACATTATCATTTTACCCTAACTCTGTCAATTGGCCGTTAAGGGTATGTGAAATGACTAAATTACCCTTATTATATTCTCTTTTATTTAAAAAACAAAAAAAATCATATTTTAGAAATTACAATATTACCCTCTACAGTGTACCTAATGGTAGGTACAATATTAAATTCAAACGACGTGGCACAAATTTCACTCCTCTCTCTCTCTCTCTCTCTTTCTCTCGCATAGCAGCCATGGATGACCTTCCATTACAGAAGATACAAATATCGGGCCCCACGTTAGCCTCTTTGATCCAACGTTTCCCTTCCTCTCCAGGTGACGTGAATCAGAAATTGTTAATTCCATTGATGGATGAGAGTCGAGGGTTGGTGGTGGCGACGAACGGGACGGCGACGAAGAAGAGGTCATCAGTGGACACTTCCAGAGGGAGCTGGACGGAGAGGAATTTTTCAAGGATTTGTATTTGGGAATCCGATGGTGAAGTTGGTGATATCACTTGCGATATAATCGATAATATGGAGGCTTCGATGCTTTACAGAGATGGTTCTAGGTCGGATCGTGATGGGGTTAACCAGTTTCGAAAGGGTCCATGTTGTTTTACTGGGGAAGTGAAGAAACCGGGTCAGATTGTATCGAAAGGGTATAAGAATTACGATTTGATGCTGAATCTCCAATTGGGTATTAGGTAATTTGATGAATTGGTTTGTGGGTTTGTTGATTTTCATTGCAATTGTTTGTCATTTTTGAGTGATTAGCTTTTGAGTTTGATTAAGGTTTCAATTGTGTTGTGGGCATTGAATCGTTTTGGGTCTGATTAGGGTTTCAATTTTGTGTTGTTGGTTTTGTAAGTATTCAGTTAGGAAGCATGCTTCAATTGTGCGAGACCTTAAGCCTCATCAGCTGGTTCTCCCTGCGCGAGTCCTCCGTTACCTCTTCTCTCTCTTCCAAAATCCAATTTTCTTTCCAAATCGAGAACTCCCCCAAATCCTACACTCTCTCCCCATGCATCTTCCTCTTCTTCACGATGCCGTTTCAAGATCAACTGATCCACACACATGAATACCGTACATGCCAATTTCACTTTTCTTCAGTGTGCACACAACCAGGCCAATCACAAATGTAGAGACAATCCCCTCTGAAATCGACTCACCAACAAATTGTTCCCTTGTTCTCGATTCGAATTCGACACCAAACTCGGTTTGCATTTCGATGACCTGAGTAATTATCATAATCATTTCCACTGCTTTCGATAATGGATGAAATAATGGTGGCTTTTCGGGCTTCCTGAAACTCATGCATGGAGGAGAGAAGATGAACTAAAACGATGACACTGTGGGTGTGTTTTTGCTATTACAAGCTTGGGGGTATTTTCGGCATAACACATTTAAATACACATCACTTTTTTTGGTACATGTGATAGTAGGGGTATTTTCGTCACAAAAGTCAATTTGTCAAAGCATTTGTTAATCACGCGTTGGGTTAACGGGGCCAATTGACAGAGTTGGGGTAAAATGATAACATTGTTATATTGTTGGGGGTTTTAAAAATTGGTTGGGATTTTATGATCACTTTTTAATAGTTTTGGGGGGTTTTGAGAAATTTGCCCTATTTTCTTTCTTCACAAATATTTTATGACAAAAACACAAAAAAAAATATTTTACGTGAAATTATAAAACGTAGATTCTAAATAGAATATCGACAAAGATTGGGTTGGAATTTTTCCCCTATTAAGAATTTACTCCTATGTTATTTTTTTAATAATTTGAACAGTAATCTGCTGTAAAGTACAAATCTTATTTATCGTCAAAATAATCCTCCAATAATCGTACTGTAATCCGTCACGCGTCCTTTCAGTTTCTTTTTCTTTCTCCACTCTCTTTCGTTATCGATGGAAACTTTGGAAACCCAATTGAATCATCAGTGTACTACACGGTCTCGGATGAGCTGAGATTCCGAATTGAAGTTTATTGCAATTCCTCAGGTTAGGGTTTTAGAAGCACTCTCTTCTTACATACTCTTTTATCTTTCTTCCTACTGTTGCTTTCAGTTCTAATCTTTCTGTTCAGGCTGAAGATATTCCTATATATGTTCACATATAAGTGCGTGTGTGAGAGAGCCGGATCACACTTAGTGGATTTATTGTGTTCTTTTTTAATTATACTTGCTCAATTTCACTTGTTGAAGTTTATATAATCTCAAATGAATAATTAATGCTAGATAAGATCAAAGATGTGTTCATGATTGAGTTTAGCAAATCAAACTGTGTGTATCTTTATCAATATATGTTTTTAATTTCTAGTCAAATTATGACTACACTCAAACGAATTCTATACTATACAGTTAATGTGTTCACACACTTTATAAAAATAAGCTTCATTTTATTTTTGCTCTCTGATTGCTTTAGGTTACAATTTATGATGGTAAATCAAAGAGAAGTGAGGCATTGGGGTAAAATTGAAACACTTAGCCAAGAACAAAAGGTGGAAACTCTTCGTACCTTATTTAATTATTATTTTTCCTTTTGCAATAAGAAAACATTATTGGGTCTAAAATGCGAAATGATGATAGCTTTTGTGGGATAGAGGGAGAAATAAAGAGCTTCCAAATTTGAATTCACCAAGTATTTAAATATTTTTTTCCTTTAAAATAGATAAAATAGCCTTTAAATCTTGCAACTTGAACAAAAGAATGACCTAGACAGACTATCATATGGGTACTATGCAGTTGATCTATTGCAGAAGTAGGAGCCGTCTTTGGATCACCTGCAGCCTCATTTTATGATCTAGTTAAAATGTGGTGGCTTGTTGGTTTGGAAACTTCTTTTCCGCCTTATTTTGTTGTCCAGAATTGAATTAATCTAGAAATACAGCAGACCCAAGGCAAAATCAGACTAGTTAGCCTTCCTCGGAGGGACTTGTTTCTTGGGTATAGCTTTATTAGATTAGCTTACACGATATGTTTTGCCAATTATCTATATTTAAATAATTATTCAAAATATTTTTACGTCTTTCAGTGCTTTTAATTGAATTTGAATGGCTGTAGTTTCCACTTGAAGCTTTTTTTGGTATGCTATATTTGATAGACTGGACTTACTAGATGGTTTTGTTCCTTACTTTGATCTTTTTTTTGCTGACATGGTGGGATTTGATGAGGTTCTACTAGTTTTTACCAAAGGTGTCTCAATGGTGAGGAAGGAACCAAAGTTGATCATATAGCCAAATCTTAATGAATCTAAACTTATAAACCTAATTAAGGTAGAAGTAATCAAATTCTCCTATTATTGTTATTATTATTGTTCATGTTTTTGTATCAAGGGTTCTGAAATCCCAAAAAATTTCTTTTCTCATTCAAGCTAACAATAATTAGCTTGATTGATTATTTAATCATATACTGTGATATTTGAACTTCATAGTACCTGGAATGAGTAACTCTATCTTGTGTTTAGTTAGTCTTTTGACAAAATCCATCACATTCCATCTAGTATTTAATTATCTAATTCTAATTACAGATCACTATTTTTGAACTTTTTAACACATCCAAAATATGTGATTCTAACTCCTTACCTTGTGACTCTGTTTTTCTTATTATTGTTCTCTCACCATATTCTTTTGATTGAGTAACCTTAGAAATAAGGAGTTCTAATTGATGTGGACTATCTCTCATAATTGATTATATATTTGCATTGGACTATCTCAATGATAATTCTTTTATTGGAGCTGTTATGGCTTATATATGTGCTTCCCATCTCATTGAATGATGGCCCATACCTCATTAAAGAGACTGCTGTTCCTTTTGTGACTGATATACCATGGATTTAAGAAGAGGGGAAAGAAAAAAAGGTTCACATTGTTGTGAAAAGTTAGATCACAATTTGACAGACTCATAGTAAATCTTTATAACTCTATTAATGTTGAATGATTTTGAATTATTTATTTATTTTAATATTAAGAAAGTGGTGCAATTGTCATTAATTTTATTTTTTTATTTGTGGCTATTTAAAAGATTGAGGTCGCTCGGGTTCATTTAGATCTGTTTTCTATACACAGGAGCTTTAATATAGTTCATTAAGTATCAGGAGTTTTATTTGTTGTAAATAGGGCAAGAGGGAGTCATATGAGATAATATGATTTTGCTAAGTTTGTGTCTGTAGTTGCTTCTTGCTTTGAAAAAAGAGTACTAATACTCACACTGAGCACTTACAGTGAATTGCCTAACAGAATAATTTTTAATTGGCTATTTATACCAAAGACAACTAAGTGGAGGCCCCACTTCCTTATTTGTTGCATAATTGGCCAATTAAAAGAGTAGGTTTAGCAATTCACTGCAACTATTCGGTGCAAGAATCATTTCTCTTGAAAAAAAGTTGGTCCAAGAAGCCCGGGAGTGGTAGCGTGAATGCAAAAGTAGATGAGTTCTACTAAGTGTGATGGAGAAGATTCAATATAGGGTCAGCGTGAATTTAATATTTCTGGTTTCTTGAGCAATGGCTATCACAATTTTCACAGTTCTTTAAGATAGAATTATGAAATCTGGTTCTTTCCTGGATTTAGTCATATTATCATCAATGATCACCAAGTCATCCTAATTAATCATTCAGCGTGTAATATCAGTGGTCTTATTGGAATAGCTAGAAGTTATTATGTCCTGATATGTTAATGATACAAAAGCTGCTTCGATTAGTCTATCTTAATATAAATGAGGAGAAATTATATTGTTTTCTCTCAATTTCTGGAAGACTTATGGTAGTACTATGTATATTTTAATGCCAATTAGGAGCATCTACCATATTTGTGTTGTATATATTATTGTAATAGAAAACAACTCAATGCAGTAAAAACAAGTATTTTTTTTTCCGATAACCAGGGTGTCCGGGGCTTTGCCCCGACTAATCCACGGGACCCGTGCAAAAATGCAGTAAAAACAAGTATAAAATACAAGGATAAGAAGGATTAGGAATCCTTCCTAGAGTAAATGAAACAAAAATAGGAAAAGCAATGAAAGAAGAGGATTGCAACAAGAAAAGGAAGTATCTAGAAATACAAGGCAAGAGAAATTTAGATAAATCTTCTTGCTCCTGTCATAGAATCAAATCAATTTGTTTTACGTATAAAAAACAGCCCTTTTTGTTCTGTTCGAAATTCCTTGGTCAGCTTTTATTATCTAAGGTTGGGTTTTAGATGCAATTTTGACATATTTGTCATTGGATGCAGGAGAATCTACTAACCAAAAAGAAAAAGTGGCTGGAGGTGTAGCATGTTTGGTTGGAAGGCTTCGATGGTACAAGGGGAAGATCAAAAAGAAAAATCTTCTCTTTGATCTCAGCTGTCAAAAGCCGCATAAAGTTTTGTGGAGAGTTGCCCTAAGGTAGAATGTTCTGTTGAAGACTGAAGGAGCTGCGTCCTTGTATAAGAGGCAAGAGGAATTTGGACATAGACGGTCTTTAATCCTGTCACAGCCTCTGAAGGATCTAGTTGCCCATGCTAGCGGAGAAGAACCAGTGTTGCTGCTTCAGCACGAACATCAGCAAGATTCTAGGGAGTTTTGGAGGATTTTCCTTCAGATCTGTGCCAAAGACTTCAACCATGTGTTGAGAGGTATCTATAATTCATTGTGTTTCACTAAGTATAATAAAAGGAAATTTAGAGTGGAAGTTTTTGCATGAATTTTCTATATTCTCACCCCTTATTTTTTCTTCATGTGCTAAGAATTTTGTATGTTGGAAATTGGAGATTGTATTTTTGGACCTTTTACCACGTCTTCTCTTTTTAATCGGATTGTTAGCTGCTGATTTATTTTATTTTATTTTATTTTTTGGTTCTCTACCCACTAATGCATCTTTTTCTCATCTCGAAATCAATATTTGATTTTTACTGGCAGTTGCCTTAATGTGTGTATCTTGCTCTAGATATTAAATTGACTAGGTTGTATGACAGTGAATGAATTAACAATGTTAGGTACCGTTGTCCTTTGCCTTTACATTCTTTTATTTGGAATGAATAGGATGCAATGACATCTAATTTTACTTTTTCTATGTTTAAATTCTAGGATTGATGATGTTATGAATTGTCTTGTTTTACTTTTAGTTTCCACTGATGGCAAGCCCCTCTGGCCAAGGATTTAATTCAAACAGAATCTATAGGCGTTGGTTGGCTGAAACATTTGATGGTCATGAAATAGCAGAAGATGAGCTATCAGATAATCTTATCGAAAATGATGATATTATTCAGCCATCAATTGGAAAGTTACCTATAAATTTGGAGACTTTGGAACCATATGTCGGCATGGAGTTTGAATCAGCAGAGGATGCTCGGGAATTTTATGAGATCTATGGAAGACGTGTGGGCTTTACCATACGGAATAACCGTACACGACGTTCACTTAAAGATAATTCAATAATTGGTCGGGAATTTGTTTGTTCAAAAGAAGGTTTTCGTCCGGATAAATACGCCAACAGAGAAAACAGAATTCTTCCTTCAAGGCCCGCCACCAGAGAGGGATGCAATGCAATGTTGAGGATAAATGCAAAAGATGGAGGAAAGTGGGTTATATACGGGTTTATAAAAGAGCATAATCACGAGCTTAATCCTAGCAAAATACCACCCCGACGATCGCATAGGATTGCATTTTGTGAGGTATGTTTGAGGCAAGTGTTTTCCATGTAATGCTTGCATACACCATTCTGTATTAAAGTTGAAATTTTTATTCAGTTTTCTGGTTGCATTTTGTTTCCTGCTCCATAATATCACTAACCACTGTCAAATCCATAATTTTGTAACTATATTATTTATTCAAAATTCACATTCGGGAGATGGTTGGAGTAGCACCAATTGGAGATAAAGTGAGAGAAAATAGGTTAAGGATGGTTTGACACGTGCAAAGAAGACCTTTAAGTGCGCCTGTTAGGAAAAGTGACAATAGTCCATATAAACAGAGAAAACTATTGAGAGGAATATTTCTTTCTTCCTATCTTTGATAATGTACACGGCATCGATATAAATAGGTGATACAAGGCATAAAAATAGGAACTAATTAACTACTGATTCTAATTTAAATTTAAACTTTCCTATTCTGTAAGCAATGACTAATTCTACATATTTACAGCTATGATATTCCTGAAATTTCGGCTATATCTTGGCTGAATTATTTTCGTTTCCAACACTCTCCCTCAAGCTGGCTTGAATATGTCTTCCATGGCCAGCTTACCAATTAAGTAGTCAAACTGTCTTTTGTGTAGCTCCTTTGTAAGAACATTTGCAATCTGTTCGGTGGTGGGTATATAAGACATGCAGATTAATCCCTTCTCAAGCTTCTCTTTGATAAAGTGCTTGTCAACTTGCACATGTTTAGTTTTGTCGTGAAGGACAGGATTATGAGCAATTGCAATTGCTGCCCTGTTGTCACAGTACACTTTCATTGGTGAAGTACTCGGAATTTTTAAGTCTTCTAGTAACCTTCTGATCCACAAAGCTTCACAAATTCCATGAGCAACTGATCTAAATTCAGCTTCTGCACTACTTCTAGCCACTACGTTCTGTTTTTTGCTTCGCTAAGTAACCAAATTCCCTCCAACAAAGGTACAGTAGCTTGAGGTAGATTTCCGGTCAGTAATGCTACCAGCCGAATCCGCATCTGTATAGACTTCAACCTGAAGAAGCCCCTGTTTTTTTAAATAACAAACCTTTACTAGGAGTTCCTTTTAGATACCTTTGGAATTTGTACGCTGCTTCAAAGTGTTCCTGTCCCGGTGAATGCATGAATTGGCTCACTCTACTTACTGCGAATGCTATATCGGGACGTGTATGAGATAAATAGATTAATCTTCCAACAAGTCTCTGGAATTGTTCTATACTCACGACGTCTTCGATTTTAGCATGCTGCAGCTTCAAGTTGGGCTCGGTTGGTGTTTCAGCTGCTTTACATCCAAGCAAACCTGTTTCACCAAGCCAGTCAAGTATGTATGTGTGTTGAGTGACAAAATACCCTCCTTGGACCTAGCGAACTCCATTCTGAGAAAATATTTCAATGCTCCTAGGTCTTTTATCTCGAAATCTTTAGCAAGTCCCTTCTTCAATCTTTCCAGTTCGACACTATCATCACCTGTTAAGATTATGTCATCCACACAAACAATCAAGATAGATACTTTACCTTTTCTTGAATGTTTATAGAATATAGTATGGTCTGCTTGACTTTGATAGTAACCAAGGTTTTTTATAACCTTCCCAAAGCGTTCAAACCACGCTCTTGGGGATTGTTTGAGGCTATATAGGGACTTGTTCAATTTGCAGACTTTATCTTCACCAAACTTCTTCTCATAACCTGGAGGTAGGCTCATATAGACTTCTTCTTTTAGATCTCCATTTAAGAAGGCATTTTTTTACATCTAATTGATGCAAGGGCCAAGCTGTAATTCACGGCCAAGGATAGTAAAACCCAAATTGAGTTCATCTTGGCAACCGGAGCAAAGGTTTCTTGGTAGTCAATTCCGAGGGTTTGTGTAAACCCTTTTGCCATGAGTCTCGCCATATACCTCTTCACGCTACCATCAGCTTTGCATTTCACCGTAAATACCCATTTGCACCCTACGGTCTTCTTGTCCTCAGGTAGGTTCACTAACTTCCAAGTACCATTCCTTTCAAGAGCATTCATCTCTTCCATAACTGCTAACTTCCAGGTCGGATCACCCAAGGTTCCTTAATAGTTCTTGGAACAAACAAGTTAGATATTTTAGAAGTAAATGCTCTATGACCATTGGAAGGTTTATTGTAGGATAAATATTTTGCAACGGAATGTTGGGTACACTTTCGGATTCCTTTTCTAATGGCTATAGGGAGATCATAATTTGTGGGTATTGTGATACCCCCGGATCTCCGAATGCGGATTGGCCAGGCCCACGCCCGAATTTCCGAGGATATAAAAAACAAATCGGCAATAAACGAACACAGAATACAAATATGATAAATAAGAATAAATAAAATGCTGAAAGAAAAAACTAAAATGATAATCCAATAATTAATCCTCAGAATAAATTTCCATTGATTAATAAATCCTTCTGACACAATTAATTCTCCAAAATAATACAACTCGGGAATCCATACTATGTGGACCCCTAGAAAATCCAAACTAAATAAGTAACTGAAATAATGTCTACATCTGAAAATTAAAACATAAACGAATCTCCTAAATAGAAGCGAAAGAATGAAGTAGACCGATCCCTACTCAGCATGAACAACCTTTACTCCTGACGAATGCCTAAAAAATAATGGTGGGTCAGGCCACAAACAAGTTCTACTCTACTACAGTCCAAGCAGAGATTCGATACACGTATACGTCTTAGTTAATCCATCTATAACTAGTAGTCCGTATATATGTATAGATACATACTATTGGAACCTCACTAGACTATAGGGTTGTCTCAACCTGAATAGTAGGCAACATGGAAATCGCACAAAAAGTGGGCATGAGTACCTAGACCTACCAGGGTACACAACTACACTATATTTAGCTACACATCCCTGGGAATATACGCGCCCTAACCACTGATCCTGAGACTCAAGCTCATATTATGGTATATAATTATATATATAAAAATCCATCCTATCCAACCATAAGTAATCCAAGTAGGTCATTCAACTTGTTTAGTTGACCTGACACGAATATAAGTAGAACTTAATATTTTAGTTAATCCATTCCCTTATACAAAAATAGATAGGACTTAACTTCTTTGGTTAATCCGTCCCTAGAATGCCACCGTCCCATACCGGTGCATTAAACCATACAATCCATAAATAAATAGGCATGACTTAACTTTTTGGTTAATCTGTCCCTAGAATGCCACTGTCCCATTCCAGTGCACTAAACCATACAATCCAATAAATGATGCAACAGATAAAATAACACATCAATTAATCCAGAAATAATATGATACACATCATACAGATATCCTTTGCATATATTTTAGCAAATACAACAATTTAAATAGCATGTAGTTAATTGACATTCCAAATAATTAACCTACATCTCAATTAAATTATATAAAGGTTCATAGCCATTATTTAAAACTATTCTGACATTAATTTAAATTGTTAGAACAATTAAATTAATTCCTTCATCCAATTAAACAACTTATAGGTTATTTAATTCCCAATTATCCACATCCTTAGCACACATATGTATATTATGCATTCTGGGATTTCCCAAGTCCATTTAGTCATTTAATAATTGATTAAAAATAGATTTAAACAAATCTGGATGCTTAAAACCAAAAATCCACGGTCGCAGCCCAACTGAGCAATCTCGGTTACAACTGAGCAGACTTGGTTACAACCAAGTCGGCTCGATTGCCAACCAAGTCGGCTCGATTACCAATCGAGTCGGCTCAGTTCGAACTGAGTCGACTCGGTTGATGCTGAAGGTTGTCTTCTTCGTCAGTTAACTGAGTCCACTCGGTTGATGCTGAAGGTCGTCTTCTTCGTTCGTTCAGCATCTATAAACCCTAAAACTTCATTGTTAAGGCCTCTAAGCTTTAACCTAAGCCCCATACGTCCATAATAAATTATTTTAGATGTTTTAACATGTAAAGATTAAACTTAAACATCAATTATGCATAAAAAATCCAAGAATCATTCAAAACAAGAATATGAAACTAAAATCATACAACCCTCAGTTTTAGTCCGATTAAGCATGTATAATTATGCAGTTTTAATTGTTTAAGTTTCGTAGAATCTCCTAGGCATGTATAGAAACACAGATCAAAGGGAGAGAGTAAGAGAAGAACTTGCCTTTAAGGATTTCGGATTGAAACCCTCAAACCTCCTTCTTCTCTACTTTTTCCGGCGACCTCTTGGCTGCCTTCTCAGTCCTCTGTGCTCTTGGTTCAACCCACGAGCAAGCCTCCTAACCTCTCCTTGGTTCGGCCTTGAACCCTTGGCCAAAACCTCCTTCGTCTCCCTCAAGTTTTCCTATCTGTATCTCTCTGCCTTAGGGTATATAATATATCGTATATAAAACCTAGCCTCCCACAGACTTAAACTATTATATATATAGGCTAGGAAATCTAACACTAATCCTAATTCTTCTCCAATTCCCTCCTTAATAGATAATAAAATGAAAAGGAAAAATCAGACATAAATATATCTATAGGTCTGGTAAACTAACGTGAATATAGAGGTATATATATATAATATAACTTATAATTATATATACAATACTAACTATGTAATATTAATATTACTAACTATAATTGTTAATAATAATAATTATAATAACCTTATATACATATATACCCACATATATATGTATAACCATCCCTGGATAATTACTCCTATCTAAGTAGTCCATGCGACCCAAATCGGTTGGTCCATTACTACTTTCCATACTCCATCCTTTAAAATAAAAAAATAAAATAAAACAGAAAGCAATTAAATCATTTAATCATATCATATAATTACAATTAAGCCATACATCATTTAAATAAGTAAAACACCCAATTAATTAACTACACAAGCACCTAATTAAATCAAATAAATCACATAAGCAATTAAGACAAATAAGCATATAATCATGTAGCCACGTAAACACATAGCCACGTAAGCACATAATCACATAATTAAATAAAATGTAATAAAATAAATAA